TATAGGATGTTGCTCAAAGTTCGTGCGACATGCACACCTACAGATGAGACTGGATGGGCTTGGTTTATCCCTCTTTCCGACGGAACCGTGTCCATTGGAGTTGTACAAGACCAGAATCGCTCAGCATCCAAGAAGCAAACCTTGCGGGCCACCCGATCCGGAGATATCTCCCTTGAAGATTTCTATCTAGATGAGCTCAAGCGCTCACCCGGGGTTATTAAATACATGGGAGAGAATGCTGTTCTTGTGAAAATAGGAAAGGACGGGGGGGAAGCTGTCAAACAGGCTTCGGACTACTCTTATTCTGCTCATGCATATTCTGGAGTTGGGTGGAGATCTGCCGGGGATGCCGCAGGTAGCCGTTTTTTCCCTCGATTCCTACAAATGTTGATGAGGAATATTTCTTTTGCAAGCCTTTATTGATCCGTTCTTTTCTTCCGGGGTTCATCTCGCTATGGCGTCGGGTCTCAGTGCTGCAGCGACTATTGTATCCTCCTTGAAGGGAGTTGCAGACGAGAAAGAATGTGCTACCTGGCATGATGTGAAAGTCGGGACCGCATACACCCGGTATGTGGCATTCGACGATTTTCCCCGAGTTCTACTTACTGATGGCTACGCAGATTCCTTCTCGTCGTTCTGGGAGCATATAAACAGATGCGAGCTCAGGATATCGCTGTTTTGAGTGATATCAACGAGGATAACTTTGACAGAGCCTTTGATCTCATCCGTCCGAGTATGTTCGATTCACTTCTGTTCTTGATTTACTTCTCTCACGCTGCTTTCAGTCATTCAAGGAACAGCAGATGTCAACAAAAAGCTCACTCATGACGAGGTTGAAAAGACAATGGATTTTGTGAAGAATGTCTTTGCGCCAACGGATCCGGAGATGCACGCTGCCGTAGAAGCTCGCGTTGATCCCAAATTCTTCCACAGTAAAGATGCTACGGACATCCTTTTGCCCTCGGATTTGGACAGGATTTTTGGGAAAGAAGATGAAGATGTTAAACACGTCCTCGGGGAGATCAACGCAAGGAAGCCTATTCATAAGATGTATGATGTTGGCACAGACTTTGGATCTGAAGCAATCAATGGGTACACTATCAAGCTTGAGAGAGGTCAATTGGGCATGGTAAAAGTTGAAGCTTGAACTTTGTTCCACCCTTTAGATAACATTACTGTATAGCAACTACCTTGTAACTTATCTGTTGCCTCAAGTCTAGTTTCGTGTCTAGAAAATAATGTGGTTCTGTCAACATGGTCTTAAACAACAGCCATTCAGTTATTAGCACACCTTTTGGCAATTGCAACGACATCGGCAAGAACCATTTTGGATGTCAGCCAAAACCGATAGCCTTCATCCGGGAAGACCTAACAAAGCTTCGAAACATCATACCTAACGTGCAAACTTCAACTGACTATGATTGTTCAAGAAAGGATGGCAGATAATTTTCGTCGTCTTGATAATCCAAGTACTGAGAAACAGGGGTCTCAAGAAACGAATGTGAAGCTTGGTATAGTCGGATATATACTCTAAGTAGTAACCATGAATGAAAATAAAATGTCTGTAGCCATTGCAATCATATCTGCTATGCACGCTCGTCTTTTTAATACCCGTCTGAGAGTCATCACGCTTGTGTATCTTCCGTCGATCTCTTTTGTTCAGTTGAGCTCTCTGCGGCATCAGGCGCGCTTGCGACGGGAGTCTTTCCTACGCGATAGAAGATTGCGACAGACACAGTCATAAAAGTTACAACAGCAAACAGGAACCAGAAGCCATCAGCTCGACCAGTGAAAGAATTGGCGTTTGAACCGGGGGTGATGCTGCTTTGTATCGAGGAAATGATAGCTGAGCCGACCGCTGCACCGAGCTGTAAAGCAGCATTGAAGATAGCGCCGACCGTCGCTGCATATTTTGGAGGTGTAATCAGGAACATCGCTACACTGTTGGTAGGAAAGTATGACTATAAAGATGCGATTGATTTAGCGCTGCACTTACCTTGCTCCGCAGTACACGAGAGTAGCTCCACTTGTTCCGAGAATGAAGGCAGGGAAGGCAAAGCGCCAGTATCGGTTTTCTGTCGGGTCTGTCGCTGAGAAAGGTTCCAAACCCGTACTGGTGATGAGGAGAATGCCTCCAGCGATGATAAGGTGCTTCGGTTTCACATGTCGAGTGAGGTACCCAGCCAGAACGGTCAAGAATACAGATGGAATACCGATGGGCAAACTTTGTTCATAGCGAGAATGAATTCATTTTCCATGACTTTCAAGGGATCGTACTCACAAGTGAATACCAGATTTGATGGGGGACCACAAAAACTCGTCCTGCCACTGGGAAGTGATCAGCAAAAACGTTGAAGTCCACCACAGATACGGCGTGAGTGAAATTCCAAATAGAACGCCGAAATTCGGGATTCTCCACATCTGAGGTGGTCTAAGACGGTAGAGACGTGGAGTAAGAAAAAGATGAACGATGAGATATGCTATAGGAAGCTTACAGGGAAGCATATTCCTCGGGAACCCTAGTCTCCCAGAACAAAAATCCGACGACCATGAGGATGGAGATAACTAACGGGGCGATGACCCGAGCCGTGCCCCACCCGACGGAGGATCCAGAAGTCAAAGCAAAAATGAAAAGTACGAGTGCAACTGAAGGATAAACATTAAGTAAATAGTGCATCTCATTCGGGAAAACATACTTGTCAAGATCGAGACTCCAATAATATCGAGACTCTGCACGCTAGCCTTTGCTCGCGTAGGATCGTCGGGCCTGCTGGGAATAAGGAGGAAACATATACCGGCAATGGGGATAGCCATAAGAGCTGAAAACCAGAAAAGCCAATGCCAACTTGCGAATTGGACGAATAGAGCACTAAAAACAACACCCAGGGCTGGTAGAGTGGAAGTTATTTAGATGTATGCGCTCTTCTATCTTCCAGGCGAAGCACTCTTCTTACCATTTCCAACAGCACCCGAGCCTCCGAAAGCCCCGATAGCGATTGCTTGTTCATTGGGCTCCGGAAAAAATCTGATAATGAGACCGAATGCGGAAGGAATCGTCAGCGATGCTCCTAGTAACAGCAATTAACTAATCATGCTCTGAACGGAAGCTCAGATCTCTGAGTCTGAACTTACCAATACCACCCAGCGCACGCAAGACAAAGAGAGGGACTTCGACGCGAACAAATCCACATCCAATGGACATTACTCCCAGGATAAGTGCGCCAGCAACGAAGCAGTATTCTACGAACGATTGTAGGTCCTTCACGTACTCATTCAACTTTAGAATGACTCACTGGGATCGTAGATATCACTAATTCTACCGCTCTAGTAGGATTTGAGGCTGTGAACGCCTAACAAGAAGCGACAAACACGCACCACCAGAAGGAACGAGGCGAAAGTGAGCTGAAAGGCACTGACAATCCAAACGGTATCTAAACGCGCGTACGTGAGCATGCTTGACGCACCAAAGAAAGGCGAAGGTCACGTACTAGCATCCTCAATGTGTAGGTCGTTTGCAATAGCAGGAATCGCGACGAAAATTGCAGCAAAGTTGAAAACATCAAGGAATTGGGCGAGACAGAATAGGATCAGTAAGGTATATTTGCGAAGAGTTGAAATTTGAGCGTCCGGAGGGACTGCCGCTTCGCTGAGGGTCATCGTGGACGGGAAACAAGAAGGAGAAGATGCTGAAGGATAATAAACACGAATTCGCGTGTTTTGACAGGATGAATCAGCGAGTTCAAGGATGAATCAGCGAGAGGATGAATCAGCTGAACTTTAGAGGGTGGGAGCATCGTAGAGGATCTCATACAGTTATAAGTACATAATCCCCTTCACCGACAGTGTCGGAATGTTGTCGGAAAGTTTAATTCTGCGCATATAAGCGGCTTTGATCAACAACAGCAACCTGTCCGAACTTTTGGCTCAGCATCTTGTTGGCAGACGCAGGGGGGAGCCCTTAGTAGCATGTGTTCAACTGCGTTCAATTGAGTGTTGTAAAGGACACTTGGGTTTTGTAAAGCTCCCGAACAGTCTTGGCGACAGGTTTATTTTGGACCATCATTAACACTATCGACGGACCGATATGTCCTGTGTGGCATATGTACCACTTTCCTCATCTCTTATACTAACGATGATAATGCTTTCTACTCGAGACAGCTCAGGTAGTGTAGGCGCACAGTGAAAGAACTTGAAGTGAAATGCGACCCTGAGGTACAGCCACTGTACCCACTAAATGTTTATTTTATAATTGCAACTTCTCTCCATGTTGACAGAGAAGGGGTTATCGTTTGTTATATACAGTCTTATACAGTTGCAGCCATGGTTCTAAAATTTACCGGTCCGGAAGTAAGCGCCTATAACGTATGTGATGTGACCGATGTTATCGCGATTAGCAACTATCGATCACATCACTGGCAGATGGGAGATGGACTCACCATAGCTGCTCCATCGGACTGGTTGCGAAAGTTCTGAAATCATGATCGCTGACTTTGGTGAGTCGGTGAACCTTGCAGTGAACAATCTTTTCAAAAAACAAACTGTCAAAACTGTATGCCCTCGCGGAATTTGCCATAAGTCATTGATTAGCTTCCTACGTACATCATGCAAGCTCTACGCTATTATCTACATACGCATGTGCACGTAAAGTGGAAGATAGACAACTTGAACTATGGGACGGGCAGTTCTCGCTCAACCGAGATCATCAAGCTGCAAGATGTGAGTCATAGGTTTTCCGGCAGACCGAAAACAAAATCCCGTTTTCACCGAATTATGCAAAATCCTGAATAGAAAGCATCGATCAAGTTTCTATATAGAGTTATAACTTATGTATGTCAAATGGAACCTCTACATGCCCTGTACTTAGTACAGTGTGTACTTACTCGGCTAATGATGTACAGGGGGAGAACTTGATTGAGGTTGGTAACCAGGTTGTTGGATGAAGCTGTGCACAATGCTGAAATGAAAAAAAAAACAGTTCGCTATTGATGATCTGCTATTGATGATGAGAGTGGGATTTACACCCACGTCCTGCATGACTTCGGGTCTAGCGCCTTAGACCACTCGGCCATCTCAACATATTTAAGAACGAGATTATGGTTTTGTTATAGTCATCAGAAAGCTTCTATAGAAGGGGAACGATAATCGAGCTAGTCGTACACACGAACAGTACACCAATAATACAAAAAGGAATCCCAATCCAAGCCCAATGTCCTAGTCTCGAGAATCAAATGACCCTCTACAATACCTCCTTTCCGTGCTTCTCATCTTCACCATCTATGTTCCGCACAGCACCTTTGAATCCGCCTCAGCTAGCGCGCGCAACGTGTATGTCTTCTGGCACCTCAGGCCCAGGTGGAAAGTGACCCTCTCCAATCCGACCAAACCTGGTTTCAAATTATCCTCCCATCACGGTTCACCAATGCTCACAGCGCCCTCTCGCGTTTGACACCGGAGAGTTTATCGATGGATATGTGGAAGTTTCGGAGGGGGATGTTCAGTTAGTCTGATTTCGGTTGGCCTCGGTGACTCGGAAAGGGAGAGGACGTGAAGAGGGCTTTGCGGACGGCGGGGAAGGTGGGTGGAGTAGTGATAAATACTTCGTATTGATAGTACTTAGTCTACCACTTGAGTACAAAAAAAAACAACAAAAAAGCGTACCTATTTCTCAACGGCTTCTGGTCGTTCCTGCGTAGGGAATTAGGCTCGTTGTCTGCGATGTAGGGCCAGCGGAAGGACGTTTTGGAAGTAGAACTCGAGGGTTCAGGGCATTTGGACATCAGGATGCAATGCGGAATGGAATCATTCATGGAGAATGGATTGATATTAATATCGAATTTTTCTTGAAAGAGAGCTGGGGATACTTACAGCAGATGCAACTACCATTATCGTGGCAGACCGGACGCGACAGTGTACCCGTGCCACGCACTCGCCTTGTTTTTTGCTTGTTTTGTGGGTACTTGAGCTGGGACCATATAGTTTAATTATGAGATAGAAAAAAAAACTCCAAATGAAACCATGCCTCATATGATGAGTGGGATTTGAACCCATGCCACGAGTGGCTAGAGATAGCATTCAGTCAAGGACATACTACCTAAATCTAGGGCCATAGACCACTCAGTCATCTCACCATGAAGTTGGAAGGATATCGAGGGATTGAGGAATCATGGTTTTGCTATGCTAGTTGCTAGATACTAAATAGTACTTGTCGAGTGTTTTTATAGTGTTATAACTTCTGTATTGAAAGGGGCTCCAGTAAGCTGGTTGCCAGGAGCCTACTGTAATACTTCTTAAGGCTTAGGCCAGTATTGGATCAAGCTAAGAGCAATCTTGAAATAAAAACAGCAGTCGGAAAGCTTCGCTGTTGATGAGAGTGGGGTTCGCAGTTTGAACCCACGCCACAAATGCATGAGTAGTGATATATCGGGATCATGTAAACCAGCCGTGCTCCAACAGACCACTCAGCACCATGGTTAGAAGAAGGGATTATGGTTGTTATGGGCATTAGAACGCATTATCTAGTAGGGAATGATAAAGATAAACCTAGATAATGATACACACATATACACACGATTATACAGTGATGACAAACGCACAGATATATTCAAGTACACCTCGAATTGAAGATACGCACTTTCTGGAAATCAGAAAGAATCCCAATCCAAACTCAACGTCCCGATATCGTCTTTAACATCCTTATCCCGCACAGCATCTTCAATCGTCTCGGGTAGCGTGCGCAGCCCGGGTACACCTTCTGATACTCTTCAATCCTCGGGATGAGAGAGAGGAGGAGGGTACGTCCTAGGTTTTAAAAAAAACAAACACGATACGTCGGTCAGTTATAGTCATAAACAGTTTATCCCGATCCAAACCTTATATCGATGCTCCCGTCTCCAACGCCTAAAGCACACTGTAGTGCCCTCTCGCGGTCGACACCAGAGAGTTTGTCAATGGAAATGAGGAGGTTTTGGGGCTGATGCACGGTTTCGGGAGGTAGGGTGACCTGGTACGGAAGAAGCGCGAAGAGAATTTTGCTGACGACGTGCTGGAGCAATAACAGACCATGGATATCGAATATCAGATTACTCAATAGCAGCGAATAAGAAAGGCGTACCGATAGCCTTATAACGCGTAACGCATAATGCTCGTCCTCAATGGCTTTGGGTCATTCCGCTGTTGAGGATCTCGATCAAGCTTTCAGGGTAGGCGGGTTCGGCGTCTGCGATATAAGGCTAGCGGAAAGATGCTAGTGGTTTGAGAGGTTGAGGGTCGTTAGGGTGACGGGAGAGTCGGGATTGGTATTGGAGTTTTCTTGACGAGCTGTTGATACTGAGTTCACAAGCGACGAGTTGTCTACTATATCTATTCTGGATGTACTTGGTGTGGATGACGGTTCTTGTAGCGTAGTTTTTACATCCGTGGCTAGGGACGGACCGAATCATGCCTGCCTTCGTTAGAGCTTTTATATGGCTTTTAAGACATACGTCCAAACAACTATTCAAAAACATTCATGAATCATCTGAAAAACAATGAAATCGAGACGCACCTAACACGCTGTATTACTCTCTGGCTGCTTGGCATGTCGCTTTTTTGGGAGTTTTTCGTGCGGTTTGGCGAGGCTGGCACGTGGACATTGGTTTTTGGTGGTGAGCAGAATACAGCTTGAGAGAGCTGCTGGAGGTACTGGGCTACCGGCGACCGGAAATGAGAAAGTTAATGAGAAAAGAAAATAGGCGCCTATGTTGGGCGCTCGACTTTTTGACTCCACTACGACTACGTGTGCTTGAAGCGATAGTTTTCTTGTATGTTCTCCAGCTATAAATCAAATTCCAGTGAGTATACTTGATACTGACGAAAAAAAGACAGTTAGGCTAACCTCAGTAAGCAGGCTTTCGACGTCGACGTGTGTTGGCTCTTGACTCGGCACATAGCAAATGTCAAGCAAATGTTACTGTTGGTATGGTACGGTCTCGGGTGGTGGCAGATCAAACTGATAGTCACACATGGGTTCAGGCTGCTGGTACCTTTGTGTCAAGAGCCTTTCAAGAGCGCAAGCAGTCGGTCACAACTTACCTCGTGCCCAATCTAACTCTAATTAGTCTCTGACTTGTCAAGCTCAGGCAAGCTCAGCTTCAAGACTCGCGCGAGACTCGAAAGGATTCTTGTCCTGTGCGAACGCGCAGTTTTTCTCCTGGAGAGTCGGATAAACTGAAGGCATTTGATTCTTCTGGACGAAATCGCTGGATTACTGAACGCTGACTTGCTGCACGTATGGACTTCCTCAGTTAAAAACACGGTCTAATTCGATTCAAAACTTGCACTTGCCACTTGCCGCCAGCATTTCTTCCCTTTCCATTCACCAGCGTAGCCTCAACTACACCGAGTCCAGATTTCGACTTGGTTTCAAGATCAATGCTTCTACAACTTAATCCTCAGCCGCCTACTACGCTACCCAAACAGCGCATTCTTTAATCTTTTTCTTTCTGCTACTCTTCTGTACCCAAGACTCGTCATTCCTTCGTCAGTAACCCATGTTTTATCATGTTGTTATATATTTCTGCCCTAGCAACTGTATCTGTGCAAGTGGTTCTCGATATCACGCTATACCTCGCAGTCTATCTCATGGATTTGATTTGATTTATTCCATATATGTGTTCTGTGACGGTGTTGTGTGTATGATTAACGCTATTATTGGCTATGTCGCCTGCCGAAATAGCGAAGTTCAATAACCCTGGTGTTGTAAAGGGGAAAACAAGAAAGCTGCTTGGGCCGTGAACGTTTGACTCACTACGGTGGTGAAATTGCAGTCTGCAGAGGACCGCTCCGATGAAACAGAACTTCCGTCTGCGGTCTTTCTTTGCATCACACTTACCATGCCCATTCCGCCAGGTTGATGTACCATCTAAAAATACGACCGCCGAACCCAACTGGCATGTACCGTACCGATTGTTAGATCTCCATGACTTTTATGTGCCTCCTTGTTGCCAGTCTGTCGGGGTTTTATTGACTACGCAGAAGCGCGAGCCGCTATGTGATCTGCCGCTGAACATGTATATCTGCATTTCTTCTAGTCTTCGCCTCACCAATGCGTTCCATGCTGACTGTTTATCACAGGTACTGCTGACTCGCACCTGTAGTTGTTATACGACGTCTTGACTGTATCTGTGTACGCTTTGACTGACTGTGTAGCCCCGATCTTTTTGACCCGAGTGGCTCACTGGAGATATAAGCGACTGTAATGATGATATACTTAAGGTTGAGATTCTCAGACTTACGATGAAAATGCATGGCGGATGGAATACCATTTTAAAAAAAACCAGACGATAACTGACTCTACTTGTTATAAGGATGCAAATCAGAATAATCAGACCCTCGACATCAGCCTTTCCAGTATATGCCTTGCACGCTCCTTTGTCGCCTTATCCAGGCCCGCGCTGCGCGCGCGTTTGTCTGCCTCGATTTCAGCGCTCTATTACCGTGACCCTTTGTGGGCTACGATCTTCCAAGCTGGCCGCGGAGACGATGCAAGTACTTATGCCTGTCATTCAGATCGAGTGTTTGAGCTCTGTCTCGGAAAGCCTCGACTCTTGTCCTACAGAAATCAATTCACAACAGCTGTCGAGCTTCATAAGTACACATTTATGTCTGAAATGCAATAATTAGCGCTCCGCGTTCCCTTCATCAAGAGGTTCATCTTTTCTACTTTCAGCCCTCCTCTTGTAAAACAAAAATTGTTTTATTCTCTATCCACTCTCCGATCTCAATTGTGACCTCAGAAAGGATTTTTACTGATGTTAGGACGACTCGAGGCCGCCCCGTCGAACTCGGAACTTCGGTCCGCCTCCAAAAGCGACGAATGAGTGACAAGTGTGAGAATCAGCAATGACATCGGCGCTAAAATTAGGCATAGCCTTTTTCAGCTACTTCTCCATCCTGCCATCCGTCTTCAATTGCCAAGTCTAGTTTCGCGGTGGATATAAATGGCGTCGACCAAAGTCTTTGAGAATGCATCGCAATTCACTATTCAAGGGTCCGAATTCAACGCTGTTGCTGGGGACCAAATCACCGTAAATCATAACACAAACTACGTAGGTGACGGCCCTTCGACACAACTCATCTCCGGAAGACGGGTTCGTTTTTCAGCTTTTCACATGTGCACGACTCATTCTAATGCTTGAATCAGTTCCGTGTTATTCCGGATGGCGATATTTTTGTCCTTAGTACAGGGTCTAGCACTAGCTCGCTGGACAAAGTAAGGGCTGTTCGCTCAATCAGTACCGTTCAAGTGGTGGGACTTGGGGAATTGCGCAACTTCACCGCCATGACCTATGAAGGTCCTCAAGCAAAAGAGGTGTGCTCATCCGCAGCGTTTGGAGTTGCTGAAATCTAGAGTCTCAACTTTAGGCTTTTGAGGATGATCTGGTTGAACACTCTCAATTACGGTGACCAGCTCTCCCAAACTAGCTACGCAGACATTCTGACTCTGACACGATCGTCAGACATCATAATTTCGTCCAATTGTTTGGAGTTGTACATGGAGCCCATGTACCGGCATTGATATTCCATAGCGGTGAGTGTTTGTTTATATTCATATCGGCTACTGCTTAATATTGTTTACTGCAAGAGTTAATCCCTCTGCAGTACTTTGCAAAGTCGTGTTCATCAAGTCCTCTCGCGCTTGCATATCTAAAGCACCGATTTGTCCGTTCTTAAACTCCATGATGCTTTCAAAATATTAACTTATATCTTTAGTCCTTCGACATTGCAGAAGCCGAGAGGGTGACAAATGTGACTTCATGTTTCTGTTTCAGTTTTTGTATAACAAACTAACTTTCTTTCAAGTCCATGTATGCTGATGATAAAGGTTGGTGTATTTTGGAAGAACAATGTTGGATACAGCCAACATCTGGACGAATATGTGCTGGTCCCATTGCTTCATCATCTAATGATGGAATTATTCAAAAATCTTATGCTCCTTGGAATAAAAATGACCAGCTCAGAACTGTTCCTCAACTTGGTTTCCCAATCTACACCTCGGACCACGGCATCATAAAGCACATTACAGAGCATTTCGGCTCTGTTGTTTCATTTGTGGCATTGCTACTTGGGGTTGAGGATTTGGTAGCCGAT